TGTTGCTTGGTGAGGGAAGGGGGAACAGCCCGCTCTGGCAATCGTGACTCTAACTCTAACTGCATGCACTCTGGAAGGGGATTTGGAGGCCAAAGTCAGATACGGCTGCTAAGAAATTCCAAGGAGCTGAGGAAAAGGCAGGATAGGAGCAGGTAGCAGAGCTTCCCAGGCACACCATATGCAGTCTCTGGGTAGACTGACTGCCTTTGTCCTTGGGGGCTGGGGAGTGGCTAGTCACCTAGAGTCCTCTTCCCCTCCTGCAGTGAGGCGAAGTGTTACCGTTCTTTGCATGTGCTGTGATACGGGAAAGCTGGCAAGCAGTGTCTTAGAATGCCACCCTTAGTCACTCACTTCGGGGGCAGAACAGCATCCGCTTAAGGGTTAAAGGCCAAAGGCTGCAAAGAATGGGACTGTGCGGAGGAGAATCCCAAACCCATCAACCTTCACTTCAGCTGTGGCTGGGAGCACAGCTGGACAGCAGAGCCCCAAGGGAGACAGAAATTCTGTGGTTGAAGAATGTTCCCAAAGTGTGGTGCTTGGGAAACACCAAAGTGGAAGGCAGGCACAGTTACGAAAATTGAAGTGGGCCAGTAGATGACTGAGCCCCCACTCTGCCCCATCCTCCTCTGAGCTGACAGAATAAATACTCCATGGTCCCAGTGGGTACTGGGTTAACACTCCACAGCTGACCTTGGGGCTGACACTGGAGTAATGCTCTATGGCCCCAGCTGATCCTAGGGTAACACTCCATGGCCTCAACTGATGTGAGAGTAACATCCCACAGCCCTGGCTGATGCTGGGGTAGCACTCCACAGCCCTGGATGATGCTCGGGTAACACTCTGTGGCCCTGGTGGATGCTGGGGTGGCACTCCATGGCCCTGGATGACACTGGCGTAATACTCCATGGCTCTGGTTGACGCTGGAGTAATGCTCCACAGCCGTGGCTGACTCTGTTTGTTGATCCCGAGTAGCCGTGCCCAGTCTTCCTTCCTACCAAAGCCTCAATTCTGATCCAGTGGCAATATGCCCAGCCTCAGGGGATGAGTCAAGATCAGCCAAAGCCTGCTATGGCAATTGCATTATCTTTGCTAGTGAAAGGGTGATGGTGACCCTGTGACCTAGCTCTGGCTAGTGGCTATAAAGGAAGCCTGCTGAAAGGTGGGAAAGTTTCCCCCTGAACTGAAATTAAAGAGACAACCTCTCAAGAAGATTGCTCTTTCCCTGCCCCCTTTCCTTCTACCCAGGCTACTCTAGGATACAGATATAGGTTCCCAGCTGCAGCAGCCATCTTGAGATCACAAGGAAAGGACAAGAGAATGGCAGACACTGAGTGGGACTCAGCTGTGGCCAAGTGACTGACAAACCCAGGATGTGCTGACTGTCTTCCAGGCTTCTCTCGAAATGTAAGGTAAGTAAGAACACTTGGGTATTCTGTTACCTGCCATCAAAAGCACATTTACCATCCTGTACTTTTCCTTTATGTTACCATATTTACTCATAACTACATAGGAGTTGTGACCACAATATTAGAGGAGAGGAACTGGAAGAGGTGGGATGACAGAGCTGATAAATGGTGGGACCAGGCCTCAAATTCTCTTCTGCTGATGGAAAACTTCAGGCATCATCTGCTCTGCTCTGTATAAATTCATTCAGCTTACAGATTCCCCAGCCTCAGGGGCCATGCCTCAAACCTTCAAAGCCAATGTGGGAAAGTCCAATCCAAAATGACAAAATATGTCTTTGAAAGGAATGCCCCAACCCTTGGCTTATTCTAAACATGCTGCTATTATTATAAAGCTCTCCCAAACTGTAGCAAGAAAAAAAAAAAAGAGGACAAGAAAAGAGTGGAGAGAGAAAGTGAGCCTCCCAGGAAGTCATTGAAAGGAAACTTTTTTTTTTTTGGGGAGCCAGGAAATGTCAAGGAAACAAATGTAGTTATGATTTACACTGCATCTCCAGTTGTGCCATGGGATTCAAAAATAGGCGTCTTAATTTAAAACTTGACAGCAGAGAGCAGCATGACAAGTAGAAAAACTGCTAAGGAGGCTGAAAAAAATCTCCATTTGACTCTGGGTTGACAGTATTTAACCAATATAGAGTTGGTAAGAGAGAAGGAAAAGTGTGTGAATTTTCCCCGAGTCTCTAGGCCTTTCTTGTTTTCAAACTGATTGGTCTGGACAATGGAAGTCCAACAGCCAACAATAAATCCATTGTAAGCTGGCGTGGTCTCCTCTGAATATGACTAAATATTTCTTTACTCCTTGCATTACATTTTTTACTGTATTATGGAGGCCATGTATTCTAAAGTTTTAAGCTTTTATAACATTGTAACTGTAGGTATAAGATGGGGGGATTGATTACTTTAGGCAACCTATTTAAAGCACTTTAAGAGGAAAGTATTAGAATTTTTCGCATGAAATTTTTTAGATCGTACTGAAGATACGCTCGTTCATGGCTCTTACTAGAAATCTCGTTTATCTCTTCCTTTTGTGCCGTGGGAAGGTCTTTAATGATCACCTGTTGACATGAATATTCCTTTTTTGTAGCTTCTGTATCTTCATTATCAGGCACATCAGCCAGTCCAGAAAAAACTTACTTCACAGTTCTGTTCCCAAGGGAACAAAGAGAGTGGGTCCCATATTAACTGTGGCTTTTGTTGGCTTTTTCCCCCCCTGACATTAAAGCCATGTATAGTTGGCAAGGATGTCTTTTCTTTAATTTGGACATAGTTTCTGCCTCTGGTTCTCTGAAAGCAAGTTTGTTGATAGGACAAACTGCCCGCACACTCACATACGTAACTACTTCAGCACTGGCTTAAAAGAGAACAAATCAGAATTGAAAACCAACTTCAAGTACAAATGTTCTTTCCTTACAAGATTTTCAGTTCAATACTTATTTGGCCTTTATATCTAATGGCTTAAAAAGTATCTATACATCTAATTACAGTCAATTACTGACTCCCCATATATGCCTCCCGCAGCACTCTCCTCCTAACCAGGGAACTCACTGTCACCAGCCAGGCTGTGTACATTTCCCATCCAGTGAAATTTTCAAGAATAGCTCCTAACAGAAATAGACTGGTACCCTGGGAGAGAGAAGCTGTCTCACAGTGGGCACCCAAACAACCAGAAGTTAAACCCCAACTGCATTCATACTGTACCATCTCCCACTCTCCACTGGTGGGAAAACCTGGCCACTTTACACTCCAAGCACAGCACACACCTCAGATACCAAGCTCCAATTAGTGAGTAGTACTATGTGTGAATGGCACAGCAAATTCTCCAGAATTCCTTGGATTCTAAATTTTTCTTTTGCCTTTCTAATCAAGAATAAAGAGAGAGAGAGAGAAAGAACATCGCTCTGTCCAGTAACTCATTGTTCAAGCACTGTAGTTCACCCAGGTAAAATTCAGTGCCAGCAGTGGCTACCTGCACAGGATGCCCCTCCCTCCTAAAATAGACACAATTTGTAGTTCCTCGTAAAATGATTGTACTAGGATTTCTGAGTAACTCAATCAGGGCTTTCGGTTTATTTTTACCAAATAAGAGAGGCCTCCTATAAGAGCAGCTGCAGATATATCATTAACAGGTAGAAACTTTACTGGCCCTCCATAAATCAATTCAACATTCCCCTGGTCTCCAGGGATTTGCCAAAAGATAATGGGCAGTAATTATGAAACCATTGCAAGGAGTTGCCAGCAGATCTCAGAAACCGTTCTGAAGTCTGCAGACCCTTTCAAGGGGAAAATAGGAAATCATTTCATGAAGCAGCAATTTTACCCAGAACCCAGCTAGAAGAGCTGTAATACTAGCTTAAGTTAAAGTGACAAAGAAACAGGTGGGGTGAACAAGAGGTGTGGTACACAGTCATCTTCTCCTACTTTCCTTGAGTCCAAAGAAACTCAACATTGGAAACACAGCTGGATACATTTATAAAGATCCCAGCTGGGCAGAGTCTAGGGAATTGAGGGTGAACAGGCCAGTCCTCCCTCTCCTCTACCTTGAAACACTGCCTCTTTTCACACAGCAATTAAGGATGCCCTCTTGGGCAGTGGCCTTGGGGATCTGGGGCAGCCATCTATCCCAGGAGGAAGAAGGCTCCAGAAGAGGCTCTGACAAGCCCACCAGGCCTGTCCCAGTTCTGTGGGGAGGGGAACTACCGCACAAAAGGTGGAGGCTTTGGCCAACATGTTGGGTGAGTGCTTTGAGGACCCATATGTGGCCCTTACTTTGAAGACACACAGCAGCAATCTTATCCCTTAGAAGTGTCACAGATCCTCATATGAGCTTTCAAGTAAGCTGTGGAAGTCGCGATTCCCATTTATGGGATGGGAAACTCAGGATGTCCTGCGAGCCCACACCCCAGATGGCACCACCTGAAACCAGAATCCAGCTCCACGACCCCGGATTTCTTATCCTTCCCCTCATCCTACCAAGTCATTCCCCAGGCCTCAGTGCACAGGTGATGGCTCAGCCTTAGGGCCTGAACTGCTGGAGACACACCGGGGTACGGGGAGGTCCAGCCCTCGGGCCTGTCTGAGGCTTCCCTCCACCGTGACAGCCACCTCACCAGGTGACCAGCGTTAGTTGGGAACAGTAGCTGCTACTGGTGATAGTCACTACACACCTCCCACAAGCCTCATCTTTATCCTGGCGGCTGGCCGCCGACGGGAAGCAATGTGTCCGAGCGCACACCCCGTGGAGACTGACCCTAGGTCTGTTACTCCAAAGTCACTGGTCTCTCCTTTCTCTTTTCTGCGGCCGACTGCCTGGCATGGAACTCTGAGGCGGGAACCGAGACCGCAAACCCCTTGAGGCCGGCACCCCCAGCCTCCGCTTTGGCGCAGAAGCGCCGGTCTCTGGGATGACCCAGAGCGCACGCAACCGGAGGACGGCCCTCCTCCTAGAGACCCGCACGCTGTCCCTGGCTCGCAGCGCACGGCCACCCCCAGCCCGACACAACCCCCGAGTCTGCCCCCGCTACGCGCCCCGGCACTCACCTCTTGCAGCAGACGCTCCAGGTGCGGCTCTGCCCAGGCGGCCCCGGAGCCGGGGGGCCCCGCGCGCCGCAGGAGCTCTCGCTCCTCCTCGAGCGCCGCCACCCGGCCCTGCAGCGCGGCCGCTTGGACGCCCAGCAGCAGGCAGGCGGCCGCGGAGCCCATGGAGAGCAGCAGGCACAGCGCGCTTACCGCCCGCGACCCGGCGATCCTCGCCGGGCGGCCTCCGCCGCCCGCCGCGTTGCCCTTCCCCGCGTCGCCACCGCCACCGGCGCTCTCGCCTGGGCCCATGGCTCATTCGTCGCGCGTGGACTCTCCAAAGGGACGATGCTGAGCTGGGGCTGCGGCTGAGCTCGCGAGGAACAGGCAAAACAACCCGAGGCGCGAGGTCCGCCGGGCGCGGGGCTTCGCCTCGGGGTAGCCGCGTATTGCGGTGCACGCCCCCTCGCCGCCGCCAACTCCTCCACAGCGGCCACTTTGGGCAGTTTCCTCTATGCAAATAGACCCTGCCAGAAAAGGAGCCGGGACCCACCCAGGGGAGGAGCGGCCGGGCTGGCCCCGCGCGGCGAGGGGGCGGGGGCGAGGAGGGAACTAGCTCCTGGGAGCCACCGGTCCGCGCCTGGCTGATCCCAAATGCAGCGCGCACCTCCGCCCTCACACGCCCCGGGCGCCGGCACCCGTCCCCGCGCCGGCACCTCTGCGGCTGCGCCAGCCCGAGTCCCAGAGGACCCCAGAGGTCGGAGGGACGCCCAGCGACCCCTCGCGCCTTCTGCAGCCCACCCCCGCCTGGAGCACTCACCACTCTTGCCTTAGGAACATTCCTTTAAACTTGGGAATTAACCTTGCTGACACTTGTAAAAAGTTCAAAACTTCAAATCCTGTAGAAAACTTAGTGGGTCTGTCCTAGGTGGTGGATTAGCGCCGCTTCGTGGCGGAAAGCGACCTCTGCGCACTCACATTTGGAAACGCAGGGTCGAGATTGAGCCAAGTAGAAATTGGCCTTTTAGAATCTTCTCTCACGAGTTTTTTTAAGAGTGCCAGACATCGGTGCGGGAAACAAAAATGGTAAGACTCTGTTTCTGGCCTAGAGAGGGCTTTTGAGAAAACTGATACTATAACGAATGGCAAAGATTCAGAAAATGAATTCCAAGTCTTGTTGAACTGATGACTTCTGTATTAGAAATACAACTTGGCCAAAAATTATGATCTAGTGTGCACCACACTTAACCTGTACTGCGATTCTGCTGCAAATTTAAATCACAGAGCTGAGGCAAGAAGGCTCTGGCGTACAGCCTGGGTCCACAGAACAAAATGAGTGGTACTAACAAGTCTTGGCAGGAAAGGGAGGAACTGCTGGAAGTCAGGCTGGGTTCAGATTCCTACCAGGCATATTCACGTCCTAAATGGGTCCCAAGTAACACTTCCACTAACTCCTGTAATTCCTAAATAAAAACAACAACCAGTAGCTCAGATCTTTGTGGTTTGAGTAACCCCACAATTTTTTTTTTTTTTTTTTTTTGGAAAATACGTTGTATCTTCCCTCTCACTCTCTGGATATCTTCTGGTTATCTAATTTATGTGGATACTCACCTTTTAGAATCGTTGAGTGCCCCTGGCTAACGTGCTCCTTCTCCTCCCCTTAATTCAGAGGGGAACCCCTGAGATGGCTAGATGACTGGGGGTTATGGTTATATAGAGATAGCCTTGGCTCTGTGCTAAAGTCTAGTGTATGCCCAATAGAATGAAAAGTACTTGTGCTAAGCAAACTTGACAGTCAATAATTTCATTTAATCCTCACAACCCTCAGGAAGTTAGGTATTAGTACTACAATTCAAAGATGAGGAGATGGCAGAGATTACATAACTTGGTCCACATAATACAGGTGTCAACAGGGTCTGAGTCCAACGAACTCTGCTGGCAGGCAAACCATATTGTTCTCATGTTATACAGTTGCTGTGAGGACACTCTAAATATTTAAACGTTTCTAAAGTAATCTGAAAGTGTAAATAGCAAGATCTTTTAAAAATAAACTCCCCTATCAATGAGATACTCTAAATATCATAAAGGTTTGCTTTTGTCATTCTCAAAACCATTCTTGCTCATGTTGTCTTTAGCTAGAAGCAAACCAAACAGCTTTTGAAACACTTGATTTTTTTGTTTTAAAAACACTACAATGGAAAAATTTTTAAGTCACCTGGGTGGCCAGGGCAGGGAGTTTCTTATAAAAATCTATTAATCTTTATTCTGTTACACTGACTGCTGGCCTATGGCATTCCAGCCTCAAAGGGTATTTAATTCAAGTGTTCATTATTAAATCTATAAAATCTATGCCTCACTTTTTTTTTTTTTTTTTTGAGGCCAAGTTTTGCTTTTGTCACCAGACTGGGGTACAATGGCACAACTTCAGCTCACTGCAAACTCCATCTCCCAGGTTCAAGAGATTCTCCTGCCTCAGTCTCCCAAGTAGCTGGGATTACAAGTGCCTACCACCATGTCTAGCTAATTTTTGTATTTTTAGTAGAGATGGGGTTTTGCCATGTTGGCTAGGCTGGTCTCAAACTCCTGACCTCAGGTGATCCACCCATCTCGGCCTCCCAAAGTGCTGGGATTACAGGTGTGAGCCACCATGCCTAGCCTTCTCAGTCTTTTAATTAGTTAGATTTCTCACCAGAATTAACCATTAAAACCAAGAAAGGAGTGAATGTTAAAAAAAAAAAAATCAATCTGAATGGTGAACACACTTGATTGTTAAATACAAATTTCTTTCAAAGCTCTACTCCTTCCAATTTCAGTGAAATGCTGCAATAAAAACATTAATGGATCAAAAGTAAAATTGACAGTAATTTCTGGTGCCATAAAGAACAATGAACATTACTTTAAAAATGAGAATTTGGCCAGGCTCACACCTGTAATCCCAGCACTTTGGGAGACCTGAGGTCAGGAGTTACCAAACTGGCCAATATGGTGAAACCCCGTCTCTATTCAAAATATAAAAATTAGCTGGGTATACTGGTGCATGCCTATAATCCCAGCTACTTGGAAGGCTGAGGCAGGAGAATCACCTGAATCCAGGAGGTGGAGGTTTTAGTGAGCTGAGATCGCACCATTGCACTGTAGCCTGGGCAACAAAAGCAAAACTCCCCCATCTCAAGAAAAACAAACAAAAAACAAGAAGTTGTCTGGATTAAAATATTTATAGAAAAAGTAACTGCTACTTTCTAGTGGAATTACCAAATGCCAGGTAATCTGCTAGATGATTCCATCACCCTGTAACACAGATATCACTTCTAAGTAATCCCAAGTAACAAAGCAAAATTATTTTACTTGGTTGCGTGTCAGAGAAGATCTGAGATTAAAGTTCTAAAAATGGTGCCAAAAAATCCAAGTCCTTTCAATACACTAAACTGCTACCTCAAGGAATTAGATGAAAGGTAAGAAATGAAGAGCAAAGAGCTAAAACCTTTCTATTACAGTTTCAACCGAGAGGCTTAATTCCAGGTTAACTTTTTTTTTTTTAAAGACGGGTGCTGCATTCTTCCCATTTCAGCACCTCAGGAAGTACACCCTCTAGTTATCAAACTTAGGTAGTGACTGATCACTGAGTTCAGGCATTGCCAGCCCAATTCCTCCATGATAAAGTCCCCTGATATGATTTTGCTCTGGGTCTCCACCCAAATCTCATCTTAAATTATGATCCCCATGTGTCAAGGGAGATAGGTGATTGGATCATGGGGGTAGTTACCCCATGCTATTCTCATGATAGGGAGTTTTCACAAGATCTGATGGTTTTATAAGAGCCCCTTATAAAACCATCACTTCTTTCTCCTGCCACCATTTAAGATGTGCCTGCTTCCCCTTCTGTCATGACTGTAAGTCTCCTGAGGCCTCCCCAGTCATGCAAAACTGTGAGGCAATTAAACCTCCTTCCTTTACAAATTAGCAAGTCTCAAAAGTAGTATCTTTACAGCAGTGTGAAAACAGATTAATATATCCTCCAATTTTTCACCCAATGATTTAGCCTCTGATGATGATTAGGTGCCTGGATCCATTATTTTATTAAAAGTTGCAATATATTTCTAACATCCCTACTGATTTTATTATAATAAATTCTGCTTAAAAATATTATAGTCAATTTGTTTGAATTGGGACCAGAGTCCACCACATGCTAATATGTCTCAGGGCTCTTAATCATTGTATGGTATATTCTCCACCTCCAAGCTCATTATACTTTTTTGCTAATAAAACTGGGTCACGTCTTCAAGAATTTCCCATATTCAATATTTCATCATAGTGACATTCATTCCACTAGTCCCGTCTTGACTGGGTCCCGATTCAAACCAATGAACTATAAAATGGCATTTTCTTCACACATTCATATAACTTTAAATATGGACTGAATATCAGATAGTTAGATATCATAGTGATATTATGAGAAAATATTTACCTGTTAAAAGTATTTTAAGAAATACCTTATTATACCATATTATGCCACATCTCATAATTTAAAAAATTTATCAAATTAATTAAAACAAAAATTATCAGTGACAATAATGGTATCTGGCCTTTGTATTTAAATACAACAGGGAACTTAAATTGGGGAAAAGGAGCAAAATTTGCAAAATGTTTTTAATTCTTAAAGCTGGGCTACATGTATAGAGAAATTCATTATTGTTTGACTCTTACATTCTATTTTTTAAAAATTACTCCCTAATATAGAACTGGCCAACTCTCCCAAATGACTTAAACTGAGTATATCCTTATTAGGGGAATTTACTCTTTTAAGTATATCCCAAAAGGCTGGACTGACAGCTACAAAACTAACCTTACTTTTGAACATTACATTCCCTTTACTTGAAAAACGTTAACAGGCCATGCACAGTGGCTCATGTCTGTAATCCTAGCAACTTTAGGAGGCTAAGGCAAAAGGATTGCTTGAGCCCAGGAGTGTGAGGCTGCGGTCAGCTGTGATTGCACCAATGCACTCCAGCCTGGGTGACAAAGTGAGACCCCAGGTCTAAAAACAAACAAACAAAATGAACTCCAACAAAACCAACCAACCAACCAAATTCAAAAACTATATTAAGACCTTTCAGGGATTTAGGTGGAGAGATCAACTTCTTAAAAAGAGTGATCAAATAACAAACAAAAAAAACCTTTAAGACTTAGAACTATTTGCAAATATAAGCTCTACTAAGACTATAATTATCAGCTATTATTGATAATGAATTCTTCTGACTACAATATTTGAAAATGTAGCTTTTAAAAATCAAGTACTAGACGTTTAATGTATTTCACTCACACCAAATTTTGTGGGAATCAGAATTGTGAAACGGGAAGAGAGTTAAAACCCAGGTCACCTAACTGCCAAAGTGTTTCTTCATTCCAGGATGTCAAAATAAGCCTTAAATATTGGTATCTGCCTATCTACTTAAAAATGTTATGTTTTCAACTGGCCATGCAATGTTTAACCCATTTAATAAATAAAAATTTGAATAAATGAAAGTATTAACCTGGGTTTTATTATTCCATTTTACTCCAAGTCATTTCACAATAGAGCTGGGAATAAGAATTAAACTGATTGTTCTGACTCTGTATTATTATTGGAAAGCACAAAATTAGAATCTAGCAAACCTGAACTTAAGTCACAATTACTGGGAGACTTAGCCAAGTCAGTTCCAATTTCTCCAGTATGTATCCCTTCCAGACTACTCACAGAATAGTTTTCAATTTTATGATGTGTAAAATTGTTAGTAGTTTGTCCCCTTGCTGTCAGCAGGAGTCAATTTAATTCAACTACTCTGAAAATTCTGATGACTGCATGGATGAATAAAAAATATCAAGAACATTAGCAGCAGCAGCAAACTGGAAATATCATCTATTTAGCTGCACTTTACAAATGCCTCAGGAAACATCAAATGCTTTCTTAAAAAAAAATTATCACATAGAGTTCAACTATTCTGAAGGTACAGTCATTGTATCTGGACTGCATTAGACACCTAAACATAATTTATGCAGTGATTCTATGACAAACTTTGTTTCAACTTTCTTAAACTCCTAGTCTAGGAACACAGCCTTACTGTATTGACAAATATTGCCCCTAAATAACATAGGAAACCAAACTTGGTTTCACTATTTGTCCTACAAGAAAATCCCATGCATTTCATGTTTAAAAACAGATTAGCCGGTCACAGTGGCTCATGCCTATAACAGTACTTTGCAAGGCTGAGGCAGGAAAATCACTTGAGATCAGGAGTTCAAGACCGGCCTGGCTAACATGGTGAAACCTTGCCTCTACTAAAAATACAAAAATTAGCCAGGCCTGGTGGCATATGCCTGTAATCCCAGCAACTCAGGAAGCTGAGAAAGAGAACTGCTTGAGCCCAGGAGGCAGAAGGTTGCAGTGAGGCAAGATCATGACACTGCACTCCAACTTGGGCAACAGAGCACGACTCTATTAAAAAACCAACAAAACATAAACAGATAAAACTCCAATATTTGTGCAATGCACTTATGACACGGGGATACTTTTAACAAAAAATAACTTATATCTGAATCAGCACTTAGGAATTCTACAACAAAAAATATTCCTACCTGGCTGACTGAACCATAGTAACAGACTTTTTTTCCTTTTACTCAATTAAGCAACATTTACCATATAGTGGGTTTTCTTTCTTTCTTTTTTGAGACAGAGTCTGGCTCTGTCATCCAGGCTAGAGTGCAGTGGCACCACCTTGGCTCACCGCAACCTCCACCTCCTGGGTTCAAGCAATTCCCATGCCTCAGCCTCCCAAGTAGCTGGGATTACAGTCGCATGCCACCACATCCAGCTAATATTTTGCATCTTTAGTGGAGATGGTGTTTCACTATGTTGGCCCAGCTGGTCTCTAACTCCTGGCCTCAGGTGATCCGCCTGCCTCGGCTTGCCAAAGTGGTGGGAATACAGGCATGAGCCACGCGCTCAGTTCACATAGTTTTCATGTGAAAAGGACAGTAAAACAACAACAACAACAAACCCTATAGTCAAAAAGTTTATATTAACCAATCAAATAAGTTCCGGGAATTTCAGTAGTACTTCTCAAAATCCTTTCCAATCAAATCCTTTCTCCAGTGAGAATTATCACAAACATAAATTGCCTAATAATATCCTTAATTTTTATAGGTTTACATATTATGTCATTTGATAAACAGATACTGGACAATATTAAGATTCCTCAGGACTTGGTATTAAAAACTGAAACCTAAATCATCAGAATTTCTATTTTTATGCCTGTGACTCACCAAACAGACCTGGAAATATCCATTTTCCAAGCTGACTTTCCAGTTAGATTTTAATCTTAAATCAAGTGTGTATGTGGTTTTATTAAACAAACTGTCACAATGGACAAACTGGATGCCCTTCCATGAATGTCTACTTATCACCCTGCTATCACCCAATGAAAAAGAACACAACACTCACAATTTAATAGAATTCTAACAGTAAACATTTTCTAAGAGTTTTGGTTTCTAGTACCTGCTTATCTAGAGTTAATAATTACCCGTTCAACAATTACAGAAAAAAAAGTTTAAAGTTAACTTCTACATTTGAGGTATATAAAGAATATTCCTTTAAGAATATAAAGTAGTCAAGATTTCCTTTTACTCAAAAAAAAAATCACTTCAGAGGTGACCTCCATGTACAAAAGGCAAGATCAATCACATTTATCACTGGTCACAAAGGATATTTCAATGGTCTTTAAAAATGGTAATTATTCTCAAAAACAAAAATTAACTTTAACTTTTCTATTGCATTATCAAGACCATACTCGCTTAACAATTATGCTATTGATACAAAACATACAGTATTTACACTTAACTGTACAAAATAATTTAATGTTTACAAAAATATTAGAATGTTTAGTTGACTGACACAGTCTTAAGTAATCTCTTCTAGAGAAGTATATAGTAAGACCACTGATTCCCATTTTATTTCTTTTTTAGTAAGTCAAAGAAAGGATGCTGCAATGCTTCATCCAAGGTAATTCGTTTAGTTGGATCATATTCTAACATTCTTCGAACCAGGTCAAACAGTTTCTCATGTTCTTCATCATGACAAAGCATAAATTCCTGAGGGAGAAATGTTTTTGTTTAAAAAAAAAATAGTGAAGATGTGTGGTTTCTTATTTGAATCTTTAATCTTTTTTTACCTTTAATGGTTTACAGCGTCTCCTAACATATCTACCAGCAGAACTGTGTTCATCCCAATCTAGCTGGTTATGGTGAAAATACTTGCGTTTTCTACAGAAAAAAAAAAAAGCCTGGATTAGTAGAATAACAAAATAGTTACATCTTTACCCTAAACCCACGAGAAGACACATGGTAATAAGCAGCTCTCTCCAGATGTATAGACATATTATATAATACACATGCATGCAATTTTTAGAAACCTCAGCAACAATCATGTATCAGACACCTTATAGCCTCCACTCTGTAAGGTTTTATTATCTCAACTAAGTTGTTCCCATCATACATGGAACAATACCACCTTAAAACTAGGGGCCTCCTGGATCCAGTCCTGTAAATTCTGTTTTTACTAGATCTAGAATGGGGCTGGTAATCTTTAAATAACTCCCTAGGTGGCTTCTGTGGTGAAGCTGTGTTTGGAAATACTACCTTGCCTAAGAAAATACAGCTGGTAAATGACAGAATACATTTCACACTAGAGTGGTATGATTCCAAAAAGCAAGCTTTTTCATATTCTATGTATTACTTACTCATTATCTTAGGAAAACATTTACGCAAATGTAAACTTGAGTGAAAAAAAAAACAAAAATAATTTTGTTTACTAGATCAGTAGTCTCCAACTTTTTTGGCACCAGGAACCACTATAGTGGAAGCAGACCCTGAGATGGGGGATGACTGGTTTGGGGTGAAACTATTCTGCCTCAGATTATCAGGGATTAGATTCTCATAAGGAGCCTGCATGCAGCATAGATCCCTCACATGTGCAGTTCACAATAGGGTTCACATTGCTATGAGAATCTAAGGCCACTGTTGATCTGACAGGAGGTGCAGCTCAGGTGGCAATAATGCTCACTCACTGCCGCTCACCTCCTGTTGTTAGGCCCGGTTTACAGGTTGGGGACCCCTGCACTACATCACAAGGTAAATATTTTTTATTATATTCGTTTTTAAAAACATAGCTGGGCATGGTAGCTCACGCCTGTAATCCCAGCACTTTGGGAGGCTGAGGTGGGAGGATTGCCTGAGGTCAGGAGTTCAAGACCAGCCTAACATGGTGAAACACTGTCTTTACTAAAAATACAAAAATTAGCCAGGTGTAGTGGCAGATGCCTGTAGTACCAGCTACTCGGGAGGCTCAAGTAGGAAAACTGCTTGAACCCAGGAAGTGGAGGTTGCAATGAGCCTAGATCATGTGACTACACTCCAGCCTGGGCAACAGAGAGAGACTCCATTTAAAAAAAAAACAAAAACCCAAAACCAAACCAAAACAAACAACCCACCATGACTCTTTTTTTTAAAGCAGTAAGATGCAGTTACATGTCACCACCAGACAGGACAAAAAAAAGTCAAAATCTATAGTCCTTGAATGAACATTACAACAATGTTGGGTTTTCTGTAGTTTGAATATATGCTATTCCATGTATCCAACAAAAGGCTTTAATCTTAAAACATACCTTGTTTTCTGAATCATGTGTTGTGGTATGGGTCCTAATATTCGTTCCATCATTGCCAGGTGCTCTTTACTATCATGAGTCTAAAACACACAGGAAAAAGAAATTTAGCACTATTTCTCTACAACACATTAAAAGAAAATGGTGCTGATATGAAAGGACTAGATGCTATACAATTGACAGTACTGAACAACCTGTACTGTCTGCCACTAACATGGTAAAATTAGGGTCTCACAGATAAATCAGTAAGATTCTGTACAGCAATCCAAATGTAACTTGTTTAATCTAAAATTTCAGTTTCCTTATCTGTATTTCTTACACCATTTGACTGGGGAAGATTACCAGAAAAACTGTCTCCTCATTTCATCAGCTGCTTAACCAAAATTAACATCCAGTACCCAATGAATAGTCCACCTGTTAACACTTACCACTCACAGGCAACAGACAAGAGAGTCCCAATAATTCTCAAAACAATGCTGAGCTAGTTATGTGGGAACATGAATTTCAAAGAGATTAAGATACTACCCCAAATATAATGAGGAAAGTTAAGCTACCAACCCATGGCAAAGCACATATCCTTAAATTAGACAGTAAAAGAGCCTTGGCTAAAGTAGAATACAGAAAACTGTCAAACTTTGAGCTGGAATGGTACACTTCGAGAGCAGAGGGTGGCAAACTTCTGTAAAGGGGCCAGATAGTAAATATTTTAGGCTTGGCTGGTCATGAATGGTCCCGATTAAATATTCTTCTTCCTTTTGTAATAAGAGGCACGAGGCAGGATTTCACCATGGGCCAAAGTTTGCTAACCCCTGCTCTGGAGAGCAGAGGCTGTATGCAATACTTTTAAAAGAAATCTATCAACTACCGTGCTTTGCATATTGCTTTCAAATCGTTGTGATACATGACAGAAATAAATAATAATAGCTTCACATTTTAAAGAAATTCCTTAGTTTAAGAGTATTTTGCAGGGTGGAGTAAAAATAAAACCACCTCTCAAATAATATGTACTTAAAAACTCAGTGATTTATAATCACAGAATCACCTGAAGCACCCATTTTACGTAAGTCAGAATGAAGAAAGTATGCACTTTGCTTAACTTTTTCTTAACCCTACAGCTCACTACTACAAAACCAGACAACACCTCCCAGAACTGATGGATAACCATTATTCTAAGACATCAGACTTATCTATAAACTCAGAGTACTTTTCAACAGGATCTCTACAGATTAGACAGAAATAGAAATATGGTGAGGTGCCCCACAAGCAGTAAATTCATCACTGCAATAGCTGCCTAAGTGATTCTTAGCTCGTCCATAGCTCCATGCCCCCTGAACCACTCTAACTTCAAATTAACCTCACAAATTAACTGGGATCTCCAACCTATCTTCCCCAAACAAAACAATAAAACACCTTGATCATACCACAACCCTACTTGAAGTTCTTTAATAGTTGCATAACGGGCCGGGTGCGGTGGCTCAAGCCTGTAATCCCAGCACTTTGGGAGGCCGAGGTGGGTGGATCACGAGGTCAAGAGATCGAGACCATCCTGGTGAACATGGTGAAACCCGTCTCTACTAAAAATACAAAAAATTAGCTGGGCATGGTGCTGTGTGCCTATAATCCCAGCTACTCAGGAGGCTGAGGCAGAATTGCCTGAACCCAGGAGCTGGAGGTTGCGGTGAGCTGAGATCGAGCCATTGCACTCCAGCCTGGGTAACAAGAGCGAAACTCCGTCTCAAAAAAAAAAATAGTTGGCATAACCTAAAGCTTTCAAGAATTTAAATTTCAGGCTGGGCGCAGTGGCTCACACCTGTAATCCCAGCACTTTAGGAGGCTGATGTAATCCCAGCACTTTATGAGGCAGATCACCTGAGGTCAGGAGTTCGCGCCCAGCCTGGTCAACAAGAGAAACACTGTCTCTACTAAAAATACAAAAAAATTAGTGGGGCATGGTGGCTCGTGCCTGTAGACTCAGTTATTTGGGAGGCTGAGACATGAGAATCACTTCAACCCAGGAGGCAGAGGATGTAGTGAGCCAACATTGCATGCTAGCCTGGGTGATAGAGTGAGACTCCATCTCAGAAAAAAAAAAAAAGAATTTTAGATTTCAGATGTAAGCACAATTTAAGGACAGAGTGGAAGAGAAAGTAGGGTTTCCTACTTTTAGTTTTACCAGTTAAAGACTTTTTATTTTTAAAAGCAAACTACCAACAACTGTAACTATCATTTCATAAGAGACATTTAAATACAAAAAAAAAAAAAGAGGAGAAGGGATATGTCTAAATAATGGTCACAATGGCACCCTAGACAATCATTTTCATTTTGGTCCACTCTACTTTTGAAAACCACTGATTTCTAGGATCAAACCAATACCTTGCAAGTCTCTGAAGTCCTTAATGAATCAATCCTTGCCTATTGTGTTAAAATTTTCCCATTTATACAAGACACTCTGACAATACTATTCTTCCCTGAGTAAAATATGCTCCTTCACTCCTCTGTGCATTTATAGACACTATTTCTTCTTCCTTATATGCCCATCACACTCCAGTTTTCTAACAAACTCTTCCTATTCTTCCTATGTTCTCAGTGATGCCTGCTCTAAAGAAAGTAATTGTTAACCTTTCCTGGGTTCCCCACCTACATTTTCTACATTGTTCCATTACAGCAAATGTTACACTATACTGCAATAGTTTTTCCAATGTCTTTTGAATGACTTGAGGAAGATGCTGTCTCTTTACCTTTATGTACTTATACTTAGAAATGCCTAAGACATTATAGATGCTTAATACTTAGAGCAAAATACAATCCCTTATTGTTCCTGAATTCTTTTATAACAAGGAATAAGTGACCTGTTCAATGGCCATACTGATTGTCAACGTAACTAGAACTGAAAACTGGCCATATTAACACTACTGCAAATTTATGAAGGAGTTTTATAATTTAAAAAAGTCGGCAGGATGAACCATACATGAACCATGTGTTAAAAACACTAATCGTGCAAAATTAACTATGATCACTCACTCACAGTATTTCATTCAACTGTAGTTTTAAAGAATGATCATTTTGCACATGTAAGTTTTAATCTTAAGAATAATAATGTATGGCAATTTTCCAATATGGAAGTCAAAACTTTAAAATGCCTTTAACGTTTAAAATTTGTTATGAACTATTAAATGAAATTTACTAGCCACGTACCTGAAAGACTGTGAAACCAAGGTAATATTCAATAAGAATGCAACCTATGCTCCAAACATCACAAGGCTGAGACCAACCTAAAGCTATTTTAAAACAAACAGAAACATTTTACTACTTTTAACACTAATTAGAAACATTTACAATTTTCAAACATTTTACAACTTTTAATTGACCGTACATTAAATCCTTCCTTATATTCATGCTCCCTTTACAGAACCCATTTGGGAGAATATGACAAATTCAGGGTTTCTATTTTAGTTTTATATCAAATTCTATTCAACACACTCTCATGGTCCATCTGCTCACATCAAGACACAGTATTGTAACTAGGGAGGGGTGCATTCCATACAAAATGAAAGGACTACCATTTTCCAAGTATACAACCAATTTGTGCAAATATTTCATAGTCTCTGAACTTTTTATATGGTGGGAGGGCACTGCTGTTGAAACTGTTATACTCGGTTCATGGTTAGTCCAGGAATTTTCATGTTTTATTATCACAAATACAGATTTCTAATTATGCTCACAATGAAATTACTAATCACTTATCAATAATCATCAGCTTGATGCATGAGTTTACTTCTTCTATTAAGAGAAATACTGTTAGAGAGGGATCTATACATTAACTTCAGGGCTGTCTAGACATGATTTTATACAGTTTCTCCTTCAGAATTCTCAATGACAGTATTATGTAGATCAGAATAAAACATCTAGCCTTCTTAAAAATCTATACTTAACTGGAAAGGAGGAGAAGAAGAACCAATCAAAATAAATGTTTTAATCTTTCAAAGATCAAGTATTTAGTAAAAAAATAATGTATAAATAAAACCTACATTCAAAGACATTTCAATGACTTTTGGTATCACTGAAATTAAAGAAATATATTCAAGCCAATATATACTGACTGTGACTTAAGTCATCTTTGTTAACCTCCATAGTGTTTATCATTTGAACAAATGGACAATAATAGAGCATGGTTTCTACCTATTAACACTATAAAATCTGTAAATGCTAGAGCTTGGACCTCATCAAAGTTTTCTTTTTCAGCTGGACACAGTGGCTCACACCTGTAATCCCAACACTTTGGGAGGCTGAGGTGGGAAAATCATGAGGTCAGCAGTTCGAGACCAGCCTGGCCAACATGGTGAAACCCTGTCTCTACTAAAAATACAAAAAATTAGCTGGGTGTGGTGGGGGGCGCCTGTAATCCCAGCTACTTGGGAGGCTGAGGCAGGAGAATTGCTTGAACCTGGGAGGCAGAGGTTGCAGTGAGCCAAGATCGTGCCACTGAACTCCAGCTTCAACGACAGTGTGAGACATCTCAAAAAAAAAAAGATTTTTCAACCACTCCTAGGTTGCCCATTTAGTCTTTCCCCAGGTGACTGTAATCTTCTGCAGTAGTACACCATTCTAAATCATCTCATTCTTGGATGAGTTAGCTTTTATACTCAACATGAGGCCAACTGCCCACTTCAACTCTAGCACCTGACTATATCTTCCTCTCTAACCAAATTCTGATTTCATCCTCATGCCACAAAGGACCTTTCTATTCTCCCAATCTCCTGATTCTTTCTCCTCAAGGCCAGTGATTCCAATGTCAGATTTATATTAACTATCCCATGCTTGGCCACACTTGGAACTTTATCATTACTAAGATTTACTATATCCTGGTGGGTGCCGTGGCTCCCACCTAAAATCCCAGCACTTCGGGAGGCCAAGGCGGGCAGATCACTTGAGCCCAGGAGTTGAAGACCAGTCTGGACAACATGGCAAGGCCCTGACTCTGTTATAAAAAAAATAAAAATGAAAATGAAAAATGTTGGGCCAGGCGCAGGGGCTCACGCTTGTAATCCCAGCACTCTGGGAGGCCGAGGCAGGCAGATCACCTGAGGTCAGAAGTTCACGACCAGTCTGGCCAACATGGTAAAATCCCATCTCTACTAAGAACTATAAAAATTAGCCAGCATGGTGGTGGGCACATATAATCCCAGCTACTCTGAGGTAGGAGAAACTTTCGAACTCAGGAGGTGGAGGTTCCAGTGAACCAAGACAGCACCAGTGCACTCCAACCTGGGTGACAGAGAGTGAAACTCCATTTCAAAAAAAAAAAAGTTACTGTATTTTGCTCAGTTATACAGATTACATAAACTGTAAGATGTACCACTGTTTTATATACCAATAACAAAGAAAAAAACCAATTATTTCATTTGGCGTTCCCCCACATTAAAATGTAGGGAAAAATCTGATTCTTTTTTTTTAAAGATGGGGTTTCACCATGATAGCCAGGCTGGTCTTGAACTCCTGATCTCAGGTGATCCACCCACCTCGGCCTCCCAAAGTGCTAGGATTACAGGCATGAGCCACCACACCCGGCAAAAAATTTGATTCTTAAAACTGAAAAAACACTATTTGTCCACTATGTCTTTCCATATTGCTTTCTTTTTACCCTTACACAGCAGCTCCTTCCAGTTTGTACTAAGCAGAAACCCTACTATCATGCATTTAAAAGACAAGTTCTAGAGTTGTGCTTTTCAATATGGTAACCACTAGCCACATACAGCTGTTTAAATCTAAAATTTAAATTAATATATATTCAAAACTCAGTTCCTCCCCAGTCATACTGGCCCCACTCAATACAAGGTACTCAGTCACCCAGTGACTAGTGGCTACCATACAGGGCAGTGCAGAAATGGAACATTTCCATCATCAAGGGAAGTTCTGGCAAATGCTGTATAACATTCTTGATTTCCTTACTCCTTTACTACTCTACTCTAGGTAAGTATCATTAGTTTGCTTTCACACTCCTATTCTGAACTACCAAGTCCTATTGGACACAGAAAAAAGTAAAAAGTATATAGTTCCTCCACAAAAATGTTTTACAATCTAAACTCAGTTGGACCTAACTTTTGGCTAAGTAACTGGCTTATTACATTCAACCATCTCTTGATGTACCTGATCTGAATGTTTCCCAATGTCTCCAAGGTCCCAAGCCAATATCCAATTTCCCTGCTTTATTAATAAGACCTGATCTCTAACTTTTAATGTTGAGGCATAAGATGCACACTCCCTTAAAAAGTTCCTTCTTATTTGAAGACTCTGCACCTTAACTCATTTTCTTTCCCAGACTTTCTCACATCAAGGGTTATCACAGGAGTTCTCCTCTTAGAGAAGCCCCTTTATTCTCGACCTTTATCCATCCTATATCTAGACATCTGCAACCAGTTTCCTCAGCATTTTTACCAGCCCTGTGCTTTTCGTGATGGCACAAAAACAGGTATTCATATAACTTCCAAATCACATTTCAGTGATGCACTTAGCTAACAGAGCCTGTTCTCTTATGATTATTTAAGATTTACTTGTTCAAAAATAACCACCACCTGGAATTTCTTTCACAGACAGTATCACATTCTTACCATTCAGGAAAAGTATTTATAGCAACATCCACACGTTTTTTACGAAAATAGAAAATGTTTGCTGAATCCCGCTAAGAAGATCATTACTTCCCCACTCTACCATTAAAGCTGTAAAGAACAAAAATCTCTCATTCAATTATATCCGCAAGCCTGGTGTCTACTGACCCAAAATGACCTCAGGAGCTCTGTAGTGTCGGGTAGATACCAAAGTACTGTGATGTTCATCATCATATGTTGCACTTCCAAAGTCAACAACTTTGATATCTGTGTTTTTCAGTGTGCGTTCATCACGTTTCTAGAGAGATACAGTTGAGTAAATATGAAACTCAATAGATAGAAAATATTTTATAGCACTACTCAAAAGGCCAGCACATGAATTATCTTTTGGATTGTCAAAATAAGCTCATGAGAAAGGCAAAGAAGGATTTCTTTTTTTTGTTAAACATCAGGATATAATGAGGCTCAGAAGTGAAATTCCTTATCCAATGATCATCAAGCTAAATTAATTTTAAAGATAACCACCAAAATTAAAACAAGTCTTTAACTTACCATTTTAGAATTATATTTGACTACATAGTCAGACTTCACAAATAAAATATTTTCAGGCTTCAGATCTGTATGGGTTAATTTATTATGATGTAAAACTACGAGAGAACAAAAACACATTATTAGTTTCACTTACAAAATTTGTACTAGCAGGGAAAGGAGGACTGACAAAGGACACAGTGGTCAAGAGAGGTTTCATCTTTACTTGAAAAATGTGTATTTTTTAGTAACAACATTTGAATATATAGCTTATATAATAAAAACAAGTTTTCTGGTGCTTAAAGATTTATCTTAATTGCTATTAAAGAGGTAAAAAAATAATAAAAAATATTTAAAAATAAATTTATCAAGTATACTTACAATTTATTGACTGGCAGATCTGATATGCCATCTGCCTGATGTGGTCAATTTGAAATGGCAGAAAGCTGTTTTCTTTAATAAAATCATAAGTACTAAGTCCCAGCAGTTCAAACACAATACAAACATGACCATGATGATCAAACCATTCTAGCATCTGGACACATCGGCTAAAACAGATCAAAATAATAATTCAGTTTACAGAAATCTGAGTATTTCATGTAATATGATGGCTCATAGGTTAAATTTATACTTACAAGACACTATTGGGATCAGTGCTATTTAAGTGCTCTAATACTTGGATTTCTGAACGAGCTGCTTCACGGTAACGGCCTACATTTTTTACGATTTTCACTGCTACATGCATGCCATCCCTTAAAAATAAGGATAAAAGTGATAAATAAACGTATAGGAGTGAGCTGAAACCATGTTATGCTCTAAAGCATAATCTTAATTAATTATAATTACATCTCTGAAGATGTTATATGAAATGATAATTCCCTTAATGAGTTTTATACAACAGTTTAAAAATATATTCACAAATATAAACCAAAAATAGAATAGGCTACTGTTGAAAGCATTCATTCATTCACCAGGCTAGGACTACTCTGTGCCAGGCAATGCGCAGTTATTAGTGATTAAAAGTCAGGGCGTGTCCCTACGTATTTCAAAGTCTAATGGAAAAGACAGACACGAAAACAACTTAGACTTCTTCACAGAAGAGGTGGCACAGAACTGAATCCTGAAAAATAGCTGGCAGTTTGTCAGATTGGGAAGGAAACATTCAGGTAAAGGAGACACCAACTGTAAGTAACTAAACCCAGAAAAACCTTAGCAGATGCACTGATGCAAATATATAAAAACACCTATAGGGGAGGGTAGTGGGCTTCAGACTGGGGCATCTGTAAGAATGCTCCCTAAAAAATATAGAGCCATAAATGTTTCAAATCTTCAACTTCTTTTTGTCTTCCTTTCTAAACTTAACCTACCTACAGAGAGCCAGCATTCAAGCCTTCTTTTTACTGTGGCCCTTCCACTTTACAAAACCATACCCATCCCTTATTAGTATAACAAGATATATACTATAAAAACATTTAGGGCAAACAAATATGTATTCTTTTTTTTTTTTTTTGGAGACAGAGTTTCGCTCTTGTTACCCAGGCTGGAGTGCAATGGCGTGATCTCGGCTCACCGCAACCTCCGCCTCCTGGGTTCAGGCAATTCTCCTGCCTCAGCCTCCTGAGTAGCTGGGATTACAGGCACGCGCCACCATGCCCAGCTAATTTTTTGTATTTTTAGTAGAGACGGGGTTTCACCATGTTGACCAGGATGGTATCGATCTGTTGACCTCGTGATCCACCCGCCTCGGCCTCCCAAAGTGCTGGGATTACAGGCTTGAGCCACCGCGCCTGGCCAACAAATATGTATTCTAATGGCTGGATACAAAACCGTTTTCCACATCCAGTGGTTTCCAATTCATTGCTTTCAAAAGGCCTCAATGACTGTGGACTGGTAAGTTATTAAAAAGATTTTCTGATGTTTGGCATATACCTCTCAAGCCTTAAAAGAACTATAGTAAGATTACTGTGACAAAACGTATATGCCTATCTATATGACCAAAAAGTTTTCTCAGTGATTATATCTATAAAAACAAAAAAAGAAAACAATGCTAAACAGTCAGATATTCACCTATGGATACATGTACTCGTAGTTTTAGAGGCGTCAACAGCCCCAATAAAGGAAACATTCCAGGCCAGATGTGGTACAGGTATGTGCCACGTGTGATTACAGGCTCATATCTATAATCCCGGCACCTTAGGAGGCTGAGACAGGAGAATCACTTGAGCCCAAGGAGTTCCACACCAGCCTGAGCAACATAGTGAAACCCTACCTCATTAAAAAAAAAATTTTTTTAAGTTACAGTTCAATAAATGGAGTATTTATTAAGAGTATTAAGTCAAGACAGACTTTCATGAAATTCTAAAAGGACATTAATGGGATGACTGGTGAAATCTGAATAAAGTCTGCAGATTAGCTGGCAAAATTTGAACACATGTATGTATAATGATAAAGCAAATCTTATAATATCATTTGGAAAATCTGGGTGAAGAATACATGGGAATTCTTGGAACTATTTTAACAACTTTTCTCTAAGTCTGCAAATATTTCAAAATACCTTAAAGTTCAATTTACATTCACATATTTGTTGCAGAAAGGCAAAATGTGAGGATAAGATAATTTAGGATAATATTTATGAAAAGCGAAATGAAAATAAATTGAAAAATAAAACATTTCTAAGTATTCAAGAAGAGTTTGTTCATGGATGATGGTAGGTATCAAGCTGCTATGGTATTCAGATTCCCTCAAATGCATTTAAAGAGATGTGAGTTTTACTTTTTAGTATTAATATTTACAACAGGTTGGAAATTACATTCATCCCAACTAATTTATGATAAAAAACTTTATGTCACTTTAGAAATGTGCAGTTTCACTAAAGTTTTAAGAGCTTCACTTACAAAAAGTCTGCAAGACACAAAACAGAGGTCCTAAAGGAAAATGGTAACATGAGGCACAAAGGATCAAACCACAATATTCTCTAGGCCCTGTAATAGTTTAGGAGGCTAACTCTTAACATTTAAGATTAGACATGCTTTATTGCCTCTGCAATCCAAAATTGCCAAATCTCATACACAGGGTCAAGCGCCTCCGTTCTGGAGTTCTGGAAAATTCCTTCACTTGAACACTTTTATTTCAATAATTTCCCCCTGTTGAAATTTGTCAGCATTCTTTTTTTTTTTTTGAGATGGAGTTTCACTCTTGTTGCCCAGGTTGGAGTGCAATGGCCCCATCTTGGCTCACCGCAACCTCTGCCTCCTTCTTTCCTAGGTTCAAGCAATTCTCCTGTCTCAGTCTTCCAAGTAGCTGGAATTATAGGCATTGCCACCATGCCCAGCTAATTCTGTATTTTTAGTAGAGATGGGGTTTCTCCATGTTGGTCAGGCTGGTCTCAAACTCCGGACTCAGATGACCCACCTGCCTCAACCTCCCAAAATGGTGGGATTACAGGCATGAGCAACCGCAGCCAGCTGTCAGCATTCTTAACATCCACATTCATGGTAAACAAATCATTAACAATTTCAGAAATTTTGTGAGTAATTTATCCCCCAAAACATGAGGCTACTATTTAAAATATATTCCATCTTGGCTGGGCATGGTGGCTCATGCCTGTAATCCTAACATTTTGGGAGACTGAGGTGGGTGGATCACTTGAGGTCAGGAGTTCGAGACCAACCAGGCCAACATGGTGAAACCCTATCTCTACAAAAATACAAAAACTAGCTAGGAGCCTGTAATCACACGTGGCACACTCCCGTAAGCCCAGCTACCCGGGAGGCTGAAGCGAGAGAATCACTTAAAGCTGGGAATTGGAAGTTGCAGTGAGACAAGATGGCACCACTGCACTCAAGTCTGGGCAACAAAGGCCCTATCTCAAATAAATAAATTAATAAAAATAAAATAAATTCTACCTAAATTATGAATCTTTCCCCACCAAAAATATCAGAACATTCAAAAAGGAAAAAAACAAACTTACATGCCATGATCAATGCACTCTACAACTTTGCCAAAGGCTCCTTCACCCAAAGTGTCCACGATTTCATCTAAAGTGAGGAGGAAAAAAGAGGTCTAAGTACTTGAGTACAAATGGTCTAGTTATAGAAACAATGAATGCTTAAGTGTGGAATATTTTCAAATGATCTCTATCAAAGCATAACTAATGTTTCAGCACTCAAATTATTTTAGTTTCAGCTGCTACAAAAACAATTAGATAGAGCTATCTTTCTTGCTCTAATCTCAAATTCCACTGAATATTTTGGAACTTTAGAATAGAAATATTTAAATTCTACAGAAAAGAAGAAATATAAAAGAACAAACAAACCCACAAAAAACAAAATAAAAAAGCAATGAAGAGTTCTTTAGCCCCCCGCTGACAAACTATTCTTAAAAAGATTATTCTTTCTGCAAAGTTTAAAAAGTGTTGAAAAATATTCTATACATCTTGCTCTTAGAACGTCTCCACTTTGACAGATCAGGTGACCCTCCTCATCATCCTCTATACTCCTGGATCTTTTCCTTCGGTGGCTCTTCTGGAACGGCAAGTGGGCAGCACCAAGATCGTCCAGCCAATCAATATATCAGAGTGAATTCAGGGCAGAATACGCAATTCATTCAGCGGGGAGATATTCAGGCATTCAGATAAGCACCAGGCCACGAACAGTTGGCAGGAGCAATTTCAAATTCAGTCCCCAGAAATTCACAGGGCACAGTTTATGTTACAGAAGAAAAACATGGCAAGGAACAGATTTTCAGATAAGATACTTAAAGTGGCATTAGAAAAAAAACAACACAATTGTCTCTTTAAAATACTGATTTAATTGAAGTCTGTAATTTAAAGAATGCAATGTCATGATTTACTTATCTCTTGCTATAAACAGCATATGCTGTGAATTGAGATGTCTAGTTTGTCAGAAAAATGTTTTAAAATGTCAAGACTATTTGAAATTATTCTAATTTAGCAATATTTTTAAATATACATGATTAAAATAAAAGGGGAAAATAAAAACTATTAATTTCAATGTTCAATCTAATAAAAACTGGTTTTACTCAAGAAAGAAAACTTGGAGAGAAAATAATTCAAAGTTTACTGTTCAAGCAGGTAAAGATGTCTGAGAAAAAAAAAGGCAGACTTTTTGGATGTTTCCCATTCAGCACCCATTTTCACAATTTCAAAAGAAGTTGCTGTAGACAATGATGCACTGTGCTATGCAACTATGCTCTAGGCAGGTTAGTAACATTTAGGTATCTACCAGTGTAATCTCTCACATTTGTTTTTAAGTGCCAGATAAAGGCTTTCTAATTTAAAAAAAAAAATGCTTAAGATGAAAGATGGGTGCATGACTTTTTCATAAGAATATGTTACAAATACAAAAATATTTTTATTATTAAGGTCAATAAATTCATTATCTGGTCTGCAGAATATGAGGAAATGTGGGCAAATGAGGGCTAGCTAATAAATATACAGATCGGCTATAAGAATTTGGAGGTTTCCTTTAAGGATTTAAGTAATATAAGTACAATTATAATATATCCAAATAGTATTTTTATATATAAAAAAAATTAGAAACTTATCAGCTCATTAACAGCTTTTACACAAAAATAAAACTCCACTCAAAATAAAAACAAAATCAATCATACCGAACGTGACTGATGACTTGAACAGTGTCTATTGCGCTTCCTTTTAGGACTGCTTCTCCTGCTGCGGACTGAAGACTTACTGCAGTGGATTCGATAACTGCATTCAATGTCTCTGTGATAATGTCTAGGAACATATCCTTCACAGTAGTCATTCCTGTATTCATCAACGTATCTCCGGTCCCGATAATCTCGCTCATTCAAAGACCTTGCTTCTAAATAGTGACTGCAAACACATTAAAGGATTTCAAATTATTCTCCTCATTCTGAAATAATGTGGTTCAAACAAAACATTACCTCAAAAATTCTCGGTTTAAAAAGCTAACTCTACATAAAAAAAAATTCAAACAGATGAATTAGCATTTATATTTATCTCACGAAGCTTAAGAAATTATTTTACTTTAACAAACAAGCAAATGGGCCCATTATATAGATTGCCGTCAAGCACTTCACACCAAGGAATTAAAGCTTGAGTCAAATCATTAATGTTTGTCTAGTGTTTACTTAAGCATTCCTTTACCTTCTGCACTTGTATCTATATTAGTCTTTCAAAGAGGTATAATCAGAGGCAGGGAAAAAGAGTTCCTTTCTCTTTTAATGTAAGTGCATTTTAGATATCCCTGGCACACAGAGAATTCCTTCATGAAAGGTATATTCAAGCTATCAGGAGCCTTAAATGTATCCCAGCCCTTTCATTTTATGACAACTAAATTAAGATCCCTAGAAGAAAAACAATTTGCCAAGATTGTATAGCACATTAGTGAGAAAAACTATTTTCTAACCACTATTATACAGGCCAATTTTATCACACACATCATCTATCACATCTCCTCTCCTCTTTGCATTTCTAGCCTTGTTATTCCTGTTAGAGAAATAGACAACACAGCTTTTGAGGGTTGCCTCATGTGCCAAAGGCATCTAAAATATATCCCCCTAAAATAAGACAGGGATCCTGTAATTTAGGATTACAATAGTTCCACCATCCTACTTCCCTTTGCATTTCTAATTTCCTGTCATTCCTGTTTGAGAAATACGTAAGAAACAACAGAAAATACCATCATCTAGTGCCATAGTGCTTTAATCTAGAGATCCCTTTGAAAATCTGCTGAAGGCCATGGACTCTCTTCCCCAAGAAACACATAAACAAAACTTGGTAAGGAATTTCATAAAGGTCATGGACCTCAGGATGTCAATGGATCCCAGTTAAGTAGCCTTGATCTGATGGAAAGAAAAGGACATAGATTCAATTGGCCCAGTTTCCCGTCCCCCTCTCTACCTGGGATGAGTGTCCTCTTCAACAGAGTGCGAAGCTTCAAGAGGGATGCACATGGAGCACTGAGGGAGAGAGGGGACACCTGCCCAGTCAGACAAATCGGCTAAAATAATCCTAACAAGCAATGGAGTGACAGATGTTGACTAGATTGCCCTCACCAACCCCTTTCCTTTCCCCAGAATATACGGTCATTCTTTACCCAGGAGGCTGGTTTAGGCAGAAATAGAAGCATCTTTACAACTACTAACAAACAGGGCTAGCAGCAAATCCAGGCTGGGGAGATGTAGAAACCCGGTTCTCTTTCCCTAGCATCAGCTTTAAGTTCTATCTGCTGGAGAAACAACTCAGGATATTTGGTAAGACTGTGAGTAGTCTAGGTTAAGGATCTGATCAGTTGGCTTGGAACTGTCAGGGAGAGACTGCCAATACAATAAGTTAGAAGCGACCATAAAGGCATCATTCCCATAAAAGTTCAAAATCCTTCTATTAGAAAACACTAAGAATAACAATATTTAGTTGGAATACTGCATGAAATCAGAGTTGCTAATAAGCCATAAACAATGTATAGAGCAACAAAACATAGGGTGAACACCATGAGGACAAACTAAAAGGATGAGAGTCTGCAATGGATGATGGCCAATGACCAAGGCTTAGAGGTTATATAAACAAAGTCTACAGAATTATACAGGCTATGGAGAGGGAAGACAGGATGAACAGACTGATTTAATTTTTTAAAATACACTGAATGCCCAGTGAATATTTCACTATAGCCTTTAGAATAGCCAAGACAGGTAAGGGCATTCGTTTTTATATCCACACAGGTCCTGTGGGAGATTAAAAAAAAAAAAATTATATAAGGCAAAGTCCTTGCCAACAAATAATGAACAATTTGAGATTACTCATATAAAAATGAAATAAAATCCAACAATGTAGGAAATTCTAAAAGGTTACACATGAGCGCTTAGAGTCAGAGAAGGGAAAAAAATCTGTTTAAAATTGTCAGAGAAGAATTACAAAAAAGATGGAAATGGAGTTCCATCTTAAGGGGAAGCCAGGATTTGGACAAAGTACAATACAGAAGAAATTCTGGGGGAGAAGAATGGCATATTACCATCTTAAATTCATACAGCACTTTTAGCCACAATGGCTTAGAGGTGGATTTATCTATGGGTTACTCAGGAAAAAGACAATTCCAAAAAGAACAATTTTCACATAAGGGAATGCAGACAACTAAGTAGGCTGAGAATAGCATCATTAAAAGCCCTGCATGCTAGGCTAAAGAATTTCTCAAAGGACGGTCTATTTACCAGCAATATGAAATACAGAGTTCTTATTAAAAATGGCAACCCTGGGCCTCAAGCCATACTCGTTGACTCTAAATCTGGTCAACATACCTTCAAGGTGATTCTTATTCACACTAAAGATAGAGAATTACTGGTTTAAGACTTGTTACTCTATGTTACAGGATTCTGACAACAATATATAAAGGTAGGGTTTACAAGCACATCAGTTGTTCTAATGTAGAATGGATGAATTAAGCCTGTAGAAAGGAAGACCAATTCACAGGCTACCTCCAAATGACAAATCATAAAGAAAAGACATTATGCAATATATATGACAAATGGTAATAATAATGTCATAAAAAGCTCTTCTAAATCAATAAAAATGTATACTTTAATAAGCTAAAAGTAAAAAGATGTTCAAATGATTGTTACAAATATATGACAGTGGACAAATTCACTAGAAATTTAAAAATTCAGATTAATCAAAACATTATCCTTGGCCTCTCAAGACAGCCAAGATTGGCGAGAACATGAAGGAGCACATTGTATAATTCAGCAAACTTTCTAGAAAAAGAAATATGAACCTGTAGCAAGAAACTTGCAAGAGTCCATATCCTTTAACTTAAAAGCCTTTTCTTGGAGAGTATTTTCGGGCAATAATCAGAGGCAAAGATTTAAATACAAAGATATTTTTAACAAATAATTAAGTTTAGAATATTCTGGATTATGTGAACGTTGACCACCAACACACCTGGTACCAACGTCAAAGAAGGTACTGGCCTGGTTGTTAAATGGACTCAGTATCATGTTTATGTAGTTAACTATGAGCATGAATGAACTGTTCAGCACTTTTATCCTTCCTTTCTATATATACAATGTATAATAATTCTATGAATAACTAGTACTATGACATTAAACCTTAAGAGTTTTTTGTGTTTATTAACAGTGGGGTATAGATAGTTTGCTTTAGTATACTGTACATTAATTATCTCTGGTCTTTGAAATCTTGTCATAAACCTTCCCCCTTCCCCTTATATAACAATGCGTATGAAGCATGACTGGTCTGCACTGACTACAAATAAGCTCAGTTTGGCAGAACAAGTCTGTTAATGTGGAGAAGGAAATAAATTACATACTGTTTTTTAAAGTAACCCCAGCTGGCTAATTTAGAAAGCAATCTGGTAAACAGTCCCAATGGAACATCTGCACAAAACAAGAAGAAAACATAGAACCAACAAAACAAATGAAAAAGGAAATTAATGAAAGACAGAGTGAAAGAAACTTATCTAGCCTTTCTTTAATCATTTAGAACTTTAAGATTCCCTTAATTCTATATAAATATATTACCTCCAAATTTTACACTGGTAAAAATACAGTAAACAAGACACAGGCTGTTGCTAGTTTTTATTGAGGCCATTTTCCAAATTCCTAGCTACTACCTATGCACAAGAATAGTTCTAAGAATAAAGCCAGCTTCTAAAAATCCCAAACAAACATATCCCTTGGCCTCATCTACAAATATAACCTGTAGAACACAGTATAAGTGACTAATAATACACGTTGCTTTTCTCTGTTGGATAACTACTCCCCTATAAAACCCTATCTTAGTTCTGAAACACTTAATAAGCACTACAACATTGTCTCCCTCCCACATACAAATTAAAGCTACTCATTGGGGATTCTCACTATTACTTAACTTTTTGTGTCATCTCCCTAGTGACATCACTGGTAGTTGAGACTTACCATGTTATTTTACATTTTACATTCACTTACTGATCAACTGTCTCCTACCACTCTCAGACAGACATACATAACGACAAGAACTTTGTTTTATTCACAGCTGTAGCCTCGGCACCTATAGTCTAGTCTAAAATAGGCACTCAAATATTTTCTAAATGAATGTTTGTTGACTGAATTATAAAACAATTTGACAGATGAAAGCTATACAAGCAAATGACAAATCATTTAAAACTATTAGAGCTAAAATGCTACTAGTTCAAGAGTTAATTTACCAATCAGATTCTTTAAACTGGTGATGTGGTTTACAATGCCTGTTCTCTTGTGTGCTACTGTGAGATCTCCTCTTCCGTTTGTGACTTCCACCATAGCTTTCATGACCCCAGCTTTCTCTGCTATCCCAATCAGGGCAGTGAGTTCGTTTGGAATGCCGCATCTGTTAATAGAAACGAAAAAGGAATTGTGGAGGTTATAGACGTGTGATAAATTAAAATATGTATTAATATTATTTAAGTTTCAAAACCCAACACACGTATAGGCTCCAAAGTCTTTTTAGGTTTCCCAAGGCATCAGGGCACTATACCACCTCTGACTGGTATGTCAGATGACTGCTAAGAGGCATAGAGATCTAATATTCAATTGTGGGTAATACTGATACCTTAAGACATTTATTTTGAATTATTCTGATTATATCCAGGATAAATTCTCAGCTCGGTGCTTGTCTTCAACTAACACTTGCTAACTGCCCTTTTAAAAAAGTAAACAACAAAAGGCCAAATAAAAAGGTTCAGGCCTAGCATTTCCAGTATCAAGAGTATTTCGCTAAAAACCAGTAACGTTCTTATTTATCTTGTTTTGTTTTGTTACTTTATACTTATTAGTGATTTTCCAATTAAGTTATTGACATAATTCTTTTAAAAATGTTAGCATTAAAATGTGAGCTGATTTAAGGAGATATAATATCACAGTGTCATGCAGCTTTGGCAAAGTACTGTAATACAAATAACTGAAGTGCGAGACAAATACTTAAGGATACTAAATATAGAAGGGGACTTTATTTTAATGGAAAAGAGCTATTCGATGATGAAGCTTCTTTTTCTCAAAGTCTCCATAGTTCTTTTCTCTAAATCTCAGAATGACTCCAAGCTTTGAGAATACTAACTTTGTATGGATAGAACACAACATTCAACAGAGAAACTGAAGGGATATAAAAAGGTGATTTTAGGCCGAGCACGGTGGCTCATGCCTGTAATCCCAGCACTTTGAGAGGCCAAGCCCAGGAGTTTGAGACCAGCCTGGGCTACACAGTGAAACCCCGTCTCTACAAAAAAAGTTTTTTAATGTTTAAGTGATTTTATGAACTTTCTCTATCCAACAAATTTATTTTCTTTCCCAGAAAAGAAAATTAGCGTCTCAATGAAGTAAGTGAGCATTCCAGTTTGATATAAATGGAGTCACTTCTATATGGGAACGTGACATGAATAACAGCACAAATTTACTTGAGGCAAAAAGCCAAAACACAAATTTTCTTCATTAGAGCTATCAACAAATATTTATGGTTGGGCACAGTGGCTCATGCCAGTAATCCCAACACTTTGGGAGGCCAAGGCAGGCGGATTCCTTGAACTCAGAAGCTCCAGACTAGCCTGGGCCTTTACAAAAAATTAGCCAGACATGGTGACTTGAGTCCCAGCTACTCGGGAGAATCACTGGAGCCCAAGGAAATCAAGGCTGCAGTAAACCGTGATCAAGCTATTGCACTCCAGCATGGGTGACAGTGAGATCCTGTCTCAAAAAAAAAAGAAAAAGAAAAAGAAAGAACATTTATATTTCAAGGGCAGTTCTTCTGACAAGTTCTGTCAAATACCAAAGTTGTATTTTAAACACATCAGGAACTCAGCTTGGTTAAGTATTTTTAAATCACAGCAAGCAAAATCACACCTGATAACTGAGGGTTATTATTATGATCCTCCATTATTATGCAGGTTTTTCAAGACTTATGTGTGTGCTTCAGCTTTGTTTTTTCCTCTTCTACTGTAAGTCTCCAACAACCAGCTAACCTCCAGCAAAGCAGAATTACAAAATTATCAGCTAACATGCAAACATTAAAATGAGCTCCCTTGTGACAGTTCAAATTTTGTCTCAAGTTCATCACTTCAAATTTAATTCAGCTGTTAGTCCCAGCCTCTCTGTCTCCCCCACTCACCCTACAATGTTCAAAAATATTTTATCTGGAGGCACAAAGATCACCCAACCCACGTTCTACGTGGTAAGTTCCTTCGCATACACAAAAAAGAAAAGCTATCTAGAATCATGATACTGCCTCTAATTAATAAAGGATCCTATATGCTAGAATAACCAGGTATCTTTTAAAAATCATGACACAATGGATCTCATTTGTAGATCCATTGCCACTGCCGTTAACACCATGTAGTTCTTCACAACTTTACGCTATGTACCTGGCTTAAAAACATCAAAATAGGTTATAAGTTTAGGACTTATAAGGGAACTGCAGTTAGTGGGTAACAAGCCTGTAGAGGTGTGTAAAAAGCACAATCGCACAGGACAGCTATGAAGCAAGACAAAGTGGCTGGCGAGTTCAGTCTGGGGAGCTGTTTCCTAAGGATCGGATAAGCATAGCTGGGTTTTAAGCAATCGGGAATAGTAAGACGCAGAAATGCCAGAAATGCAGATTCGCTGCAACAATGTTGTGTTCTGTATTGTACAGAGAGGACTAGCCTCCGCAGATTTCCACCCCTCACAAGCACCTAACTATCCTCAACCACCTGGATTTGCACGGACGCCCGATCCCCACCTCCCGGCTCCTGGGCACCCGGCCAGTGCCTTTGGCGCACTCAGACAGGGGCAAATGCTTGACTCTGGAAAATCCCGCAAACGCTATCAACGGCCCAGACCAAGAGTCCAGGGGAAGACTTGATCTCCGACAATACGAATGCCAGCGAAGGCTCTCAAAGGGTCTCCCGACAGGTCCTCGCGCCCGCCGGCGGGAAGAGATCCTGACAGGGTTAACCGAGAGCCGCGTTCGCCGGCCAGCAGCGGGCGGCGAGCCCAGGGCCTCCGGAGCCGCGACGCGAGCGGCCAGGGCTCTCAGAGAAGGTCAACGGCACAACCTCGACGCCCGAGCAACTTTCGGAGCTTCCGGCAGGCACCAGCCGAGCAGCGCCCCGCAGAACTCCCAACTCAGCCCCAAAAGCCCAGGCTCCTAACGCGATCGTTTATCCGATACCTGGCTTGGAGACCTAAAGACCGACAGCCGCCCGACCCAGCATACACAACCTGCAAACCTACCTCAGCAAAAGCAAATGGCCTTTCAGCCGAGAAATGTAGCCAAACTACCGTCTTCCTCCTACACCGCTGCGACAAACACCCCACAAAATGGCGACAGCTCCGTCGCCCTACAATCCCCCCGGCGGCCTCTAGCGCCACCTACGCCGCAAAAACGCGCCTGCGTGACAGAGCCTCGCGCGCTCCCGCCTCTCCCCGTAAGGGGCAGGACTCCACGAGACGTAAAAGCAGGACCTGAGCCTCCACACTGCGGCTGCGCATCTTCGGAGTGGTGGGAGTGTTTACGTTCTACTCCGGCTTAGGTGGAACCGGGAGGGACCCCTTGGGTCCCGCCCTGAGTGTCTCACCCTTGAGGTGGAGTTGTCCTGAGTGCAGCACCTCTCGGCAGAGCAGGCCGGTCCCCCGTTTCCTGCTCTCCCAGCAGAGGGCGCCGCGCCATCACGCTTTGCCTGCCCCCTCCCCGGAGACCTCAACTCCAGAGGGAGGCGGCGCGCGACGTTGGCCCCAAAACTGCCCAGGGCCGGGCCTGGCTAGTGCCTGGGCTGTTCTGTGAACTGGGTGCTCAAGCCCACTTGGAGCTTCCAGTCTAAGGTGGATTAAGATAAAGAGGCTGTCTCAGAAAACAAGCTCAAGAGGTGCTTATCTTTTCAAGGCATGTGCTCCTATTCAGAACAAAACAAACGAGAGGTTTCAGTGGAGCTTCCTGATACGGTTTTCCTGTTAGGATCCCTACCTCCTGAGCAGATACGCTAGCTGGAAGTTTCCCTAACGAAGTTTCCCCATTCTTTGTCCCTGTGGGTTGATTTTATTCAACCAAGGCAGAAAAATGTCTCTGAGCTAGTGAGGGTCCGTTAAGGGGCTTGCTTACCTCAAATAAGGTATTCTGCAGTTCTGAGAACCCCCAGGCGGTTCCCCCATGTATGGAGCATGAGAAATCTTAGGGTCAAAGTCGGAGCCCTATGGGGAAAACTTAAGGGCTAGAGGAAAAGGGGCCTGAGAAGGAATGATCAGGAGAGGAGGAGAACCAAGAATAGGTGTCAGAGCAAGGGAGGCAAGGGCTTAAGTGAGGGAAAGGGTTTAGGTAAGGTTAGAACTGAAGAGTGACGGTGCGTGGTGGGCGGGGGGTGGGGGGGTGTGTTCCTGTATTCTGACGGAGATTCGCTGCATAAAAGGGAAAGCCAGAAATCAAATTTGGAGAGGGGTTGAATTCTTGTGGGTATTAGCCCAACAGCGTGTGGGAGACCTGTTACCCTGTTAGGTAAAAGAAGGGAAGGGTAATACCTTTAGTGATCTAACATTATAGAAATTTGTGCCATCTGCTTTGGGTAAGTAGGGTAAATTTAGCTAAATCTCGGAGATTGTACTGCATTTCAAAAAGTAAAGTTGAAATAACAAGTTGAATATTCATGGAGATTGCCCTGCAAGAAATAACGTTGAAAAGAAACTTGGAAAATTGGAAGGGAAAACTCTTTACGCTACAGAATGAAACAAATGATATTATTCTCATCTAGCATAGCCACCATTTCTGCATCTATAAATTGAAATCTCACTCATCTTTAAAGGGCCATTTCTTTAAGATGCTGTCTCTGACATCCGTTCTTACCCATTTCTCTGCTCCTGACTCCTGTTAGATGTGAAGTCCTCAAATAGTGGAGTATTTGGAGTCACCCTGTATGCCAAAAAATTTTGCCCAAAGAGTGAAATGTATTGGTTCTACAATTGATTAATTGATTAATCCTGTCTCAAGGGCATCTATTAGATAGAATGTTGAGCTGGCTGGACTGGGTGATGGTACAAGATAGAGTGAGGCTCAAATTGCAGCATATGGGAGTGTAAATTCAAGCTGGCACTAAAGAATGTTCTCCTGTTTCATAGACTATGAGAGATCTGTGCCTCTTGAGGCTATAAGAAAGTTTGGTGAGGACAGCCCACAATTCTGCTCAAAA